CCTAAACAGGGCGGCTGGGCATTTCTCTCCCTTCCACCCTCCTCTCCTTTTCCTTCCTTCTTCCCTTACCTCTCTTCTACTCCTACTCTTCCTCTTCTCCTTCCTACCTCTCTCCTTCTCTTTCTCTCCCTTCCACCCTCCTCTCCTTTTCCTTCCTTCTTCCCTTACCTCTCTTCTACTCCTACTCTTCCTCTTCTCCTTCCTACCTCTCTCCTTCTCTTTCTCTCCCTTCCACCCTCCTCTCCTTTCCCTTCCTTCTTCCCTTACCTCTCCCCTACTCCTACTCTTCCTCTTCTCCTTCCTACCTCTCTCCTTCTCTTTCTCTCCCTTCCACCCTCCTCTACTTCCCCTTCCTTCTTCCCTTACCTTTCTCCTACTCTTCCTCTTCTCCTTCCTACCTTCTCTCCTTCTCTTTCTCTCCCTTCCACCCTCCTCTCCTTTCCCTTCCTTCTTCCCTTACCTCTCCCCTACTCCTACTCTTCCTCTTCTCCTTCCTACCTCTCTCCTTCTCTTTCTCCCTTCCATCCACCTCTCCTTCCCTCTTTCTTCCTTCCCTCCTCGTCCTCTCTTCCTCTCCTCCTCTCTCCCTTCCCCTTCTTTCCTCCCTTACCACTGCCCTACTCCAACTCTTCCCCTTCCTACCCTCTCTCCTTCTCTTTCTCTCCCTTCCATCCTCCTCTCCTTCCCTCTTCCTTCCTTCCCTCCTCTTCCTCTCTTCCTCTCCTCCTCTCTCCCTTCCCCTTTCTTCTTCCCTTACCTTTCTCCTACTCTTCCTCTTCCCCTTCCTACCTTCTCTCCTTCTCTTTCTCTCCCTTCCACCCTCCTGTCCTTCCCTTTCTTCTTCCCTTACCTCTTCCCTACTTCTGCTCTTCCTCTTCTCCTTCCTACCCTCTCTCCTTCTCTCTCTCCCTTCCATCCACCTCTCCTTCCCTCCTTCTTCCCTCCTCTTCCTCTCTTCCTCTCCTCCTCTCTCCCTTCCCCTTCCTTCTTCCCTTACCACTCCCCTACTCCTACTCTTCCCCTTCCTACCCTCTCTCCTCTTTCTCTCCCTTCCATCCTCCTCTCTTTCCCTCTTTCTTCCTTCCCTCCTCTTCCTCTTTTCCTCTCCTCTCTTCCTTTCTTTTTTCTATTGTTGTAGGTGTCTCCTTCCAGCTCTTAATTTTTATTTTCTTGGAGTGGTATTTCCGCAGACCCAAGAATAGTTAAATATCATTTCTTGTTCCCTTTCCTTCTCAAATCTATTCTGATTATGTTTTTCCCCCTTTGTGTATCTTACTTTTGAATATATACTTATATATAATTATTTTGCCAATTTCCCCCCCCCCTCTTCAGCCCCTTTTCTACTTAATGGCGCATCATCTGTGTTCCATATCTTCCCCTTACTTTCTTTTCTGTATGTCTTTCTCTAACCATTCATAAGATCTTCAGTCTGGGGAAGGCTCTGACGAGGGCTCTGCATCAGAGGCAGAGATGTGGCCAGAGCCATTTGATAGTTATCAGCTGCCTTCGGAGTTGGAGATCAGTGGGGCAGAAGAACAGCTGGAGCCTGTTCCCAGTGTGCGCATGCGCAGAGNTCCTCCTCCTCCTCCTCCTCCTCCATCTCCTCATTCCAAAGTGCAACTGGTTGTCATGGCTTCAGAGTTTGGGACACCTCCTTTAACCCTTCTTCTCTCTGGTTGATTTTCTCTCCAGGCTCCGGTCCCTTCCCTCTGGTGATCGAGACCCCAACAGCGGTCTATGAATTTGTGTCTGATCCGCTGGACTGGTGGCATGCCAATGTCTACTGCCAGCAGCGTTTCGCTCAGTTGCCCTCGGAGAACTGGGAGGACGAGCTGTCCTCTCTGGGCCAAAATCTCTCCCGCCGACTCCAGAGCACCGTCTGGTTAGACGACGAGGAGCTCCTGCAGCGGAAACCAAAGCAAAGACGTGAGTAGAAGAGCCCCATCCACCAGTTGCAACTTTGGGGTGGCCGGTGGTGACCGAGAGGTCCTGAGGTGATAGGCGTGATCCCTTGGATGTAATTCTCCCCATAACTTAGGTGAGAGGAGGGAGGAAGAGGAGGTCTGTAAGCCAATAGTTCTGGAAGGGATCTGGCCACAATCCTTCTTAGAGTCAGAGTTGATCACTAATCAAAACTGGTTCAAGAGACCTTGATGTTTCTGAGCAGAAGTATCTTCTCCTTCTCCTCCTTCTTGTCTTTCTCTTCCTTCTTTCCTTCTCCTTCTTATCTCTCCTTCCTCCTTCTCTCCTTCATCCCCTCATCTGTCTTCTCCTCCTTCTCCTTCATCTTCATCTATCTTCTCTTTCTCCCCATTTCCACTACTTCTTCTCCTTCCCCACCATTCCGTCTCCTCCTCTTCCTCCTCCTCCTCTTCCTCCTCCTCTTCCTCCTACTTTTCCTCCTCCTCTTCTAATTCTTCTCTTCCTCATCCCTTCTCTTCTTCCTCCTCCTTTTCCTTCTCCTCCTCTTCCTCCTTCTTCTCTTCCTCCTCTTCCTCCTTCTCTTTCTCATCCTCTTCCTCCACTTCCTTCTCCCTTTCCTTCTCTTCTTTTCTTTTTAATTTAATGTATATCCTCTTCCTCCTCCTTCTCTTCCTCCTCCTCCTTTTCCTTCTCCTCCTCTTCCTCCTTCTCCTCCTCCTCTTCCTCCACCTGTTCCTCCTTCTCCTCTTTCTTCTCCCTTTCCTTCTCCTCTTCCTTTCTTTTTAATTTAATTTATATCCCCTTTCTACTTCTCTTCCTCATCCTCCTCTTCCTCCTACTTTTCTTCCTCCTCTTCCTCCTCCTCCTTCTCTTCTAATTCTTCTCTTCCTCATCCCTTCTCTTCCTCCTCCTTTTCCTTCTCCTCTTCTTCCTTCTTCTCTTCCTCCTCTTCCTCCTNCAAGGCCCTCCGGCTCTTCCCCACCAGCGGAGCTTCCCTCCAGCCTTCTCCCAAAGCCCCCCACCAGGAGGTTGAAGCAGACCCCAAGTCGGAATTTCTGCCCCCCTCCGACCCCCACAAAAAGACCCCGAAGCGGGAGACTCTGCAGCAACACAAGCGTTCATTGCACCTATCCATCCCAGGGGTCATAGTTTGAGGACCCCTGATTTAGTACAATGTAAAAAATGCAAATAATTTTTTTGCAGGCCACCAACATTTTCTCATAGACCACCAGTGAATGGTCCACAGACCACCAGTTGGTGGCCGCTGATCTAGTCCAAACCCTCCCCCACCCAAGCAGGAGACCCTACTACACCATTTCTGGCAGATGGCAATCCAGCGTCCTCCAAGAGGAGGGGTTACTCCCCCCCTCCCAGATCTTCAGAGGGGGGGGGGCATTCTCCCCACCTCCAGGAAAGCCAGTTCTCCTGCTGAGTTGGGAAGGTTTCCTAAGGACCCTTCGCCACCCCCGCCCTCCTCCGTCTGGTTGCGCAGAGGGACCCACTCCAAAGAAGCGACCCCCCCCTCCCCACTACATACAAAGCTTGGGAACAAGCTGCTATTTTCCCTGCCAGTGAATCACATCAGGGGCGACCCCTCCCAGCTTGGGCCCTTGCCCAGGTGGGAGGGAGGGGGGGAACCTTTTGTGCCCTCTCCTCTCCCGACTGTTCTCGTTGGCTAGGCTGCCGGGAAGAGTGGTGCGGAGGAGGAGGAGGAGGAGGAGGAGGAGGAGGCGAGGAAGAGAAGAGCTGGCCGCTTCTCGCGCGGGGGGCGCGTCGCCACCCTTCCTTCTCGCCCACCGCCGTTGGGAGA